AACAACAACAACAACAACAACAACAACAACAACAACAACAACAACAACAACAAGAAACAATGACAGCGGGAAAAAAAACTAAACCAAACCGGTATTTATACGTGCCTGATGCACACAGTTTTTGTTCTTTTTTGGTGATGTTGTTGGTTGTTGTTGTGGGGGTTTTTTTTGGGGTGGGGGTTGTTTGTTTGGGTTGGGGGGGGGTGTTTGTTTTCCTTCTCCCGATTTTAAACAAAAGCGTTTTGCCCATCTCGTTTCTCACTTACATTTTCAATTCTCTATTTGAGTCGCCCAGTGCAATATATGTCCCAATGCAGTAGCGGCCCTTTTAACATTTTGCATATAATCTGAATTCGAAAATGTCTGCGAAAATCAAGAATTAAAGTCGCGTGCGGAAAAACGAAAATGGTATAAAGTACGAGACTAGGGAGGTTTTAGTTTATTTTTTTAGGACGCCTGTTACGGCACTTGCAACACAATGAGACCTTATAGGTGCTGAAGATTAGAGGCGTTACAAGCGAGTAACAAACATAAAAAAGAAGGAGGAAAGATAAGGACGATAGATCAAAATAGATATTGTTAGGAAAGAAGAAGAAAACCACACCAGAGCACCCGTCACAACCACCCACGACGTTGGAGAAAAACGTCTGTAGTCTAAGCAACTTACTGGGGCAACGGAGTCAAAGCCAGCAGATAGCAGTCATTGTCCAGCGTCCCACGACTTCCGGTGACCAGAAGCATGGCGGACGGCGACCGTGGCCACTCCAGCAAAGACACCTGACTGGTCGTGGACTGCAAGCCAGACGCCGAAGGGTGAATTCCTGTAGTTGACAGCTGATGCGATGCCGGCAAAAAGTGATTCTCGTTGACGGAAGGCGGCGATGACGTCACTAGGGGATTCCCCGAGTTCTCAAAGGCCAAGACGCTGGGAACGTTGGACGGCATAATGCTGTATGTAGTTCACACGCGTCACGTGACCGGCCAGCCGTCAGTACTAAATATAACGGAGTAATTCACAAATTCTGAGCACGGAGAAACTGATTGATTGACTGATTGATCGATTGACTGGTTGATTGATTGAACTGGTTGGTTGGCTGGTTGGTTGGTTGGTTGGTTGGTTGGTTGGTTGGTTGGTTGGTTGGTTGGTTGGTAGGATGGTTGTTGATTGGTTGTTTGGTAGAAGCTATCATTGATTTGTTTTTAATGGATCATTTAAAAAGTAAGCTGCTTTGGCCCTTCCTACAGCGCTTAGGGTGAGACCCCGCATTCGAATTCATTTCTATGTATGTCTTACAGTACTTCTGAAGTTTTTAAAGAAAGCAGCAAATTAACAGACCTGTTGCGGTTAGAAACGAATCATTGTAAATGACAGAGGGCAGCAGGCATGAGCAAGCGTGTCCACGTTGCGGGCCGGATTAAGAGATTCCAAATGTCTCACATCATGCCAAAGCAGGAGAAAATTAACAGAGTGAAATCGGTGAAATGGTATAAGTTTAACGCCCCTATAAAAACTATTAGGTTATTTAAGGGCGCTGGGTCTCCGAGTTTAACGTCCATCTCCGAAAGGACCGAGTCAAATGGGAATTTTTGTAAAGTGCCTTTCCCAAGGACACAACGTCGGACCCAGCGGATGCTCGAACCCCCGAACCCGCAATCTCACTAGTCTAACCACTAGGCCACCGACGCTACAATTAATTGAGTGAAATCGGATGAAATACCCAAGCTTTCAAATCTGAGACTTAAACTGACAATGTAGCGGCATAATGTCACCGGGTGGCGTTTGATGAGATAAAGTAATTGACCGATTTCTTCCAGCTGAACAAGAAACTAAAATGTAAATTTTCAAGACGGTCAGTTTTGTTTTCAATCAAACCAACTCAACACATGCCACATTCGTTATTCATAATTACTAGGTCGAAATGAAGGCCAGACTGAAAATGCTCGTGGGCTGAATCTTGCCCGTGGGCCGACTTCTACCTATGCCCACTGTATGGCGTCATTAAAAGGTTCCTATAACGAAAGTCCCCCTGCATAGCAGCAAACTGCACCGCACAACACTGCTGACTTCTGATGCAGCTCCTACTGGGGACTTTTTCTTTTTGCTTGTGTGTTTGTTCATTTGTTTGTTTGTTTGTTTGTTTGTTTGTTTGTTTGTGTTTGTTTGCTTGCTTGTTTGCTTGCTTGTTAGCTCTTTTTCTTTTCTCTTTTTTTTTGGGGGGGGGGGGGGGGGGTGTAAAAAGAGAAATACCTAGGAAGAAATTTCCCAATTATAAAATCATGTTTCAACACGGCTTGTTTCTTTACGATAATTCAACAGAAAGACTCGTGTCTTCCCGACTTGAAATTCCCACGCATACTTTAAACATATTCTACTTCTCATACAGAAATCGTAAGTTCCATCTATTGGGAACTCCGTTATAAAAGGGCTATACACCCCTTCACTTTCACTGAGTTGGGTGGTTGGTCTTCTTTCTCGAAAAGAAAAACATTTTCAAAACTGTTGTGCTGAATTTGACTCGAACGCTACTGTATGAACAGAACAGTCCACGCATTGTCAAAAATGCATCCGCACTGGCAAAGTCTGTCGAATGTGAGGACAAAACACGCCACTAAACTCGGCATCTTTAAAATAGTTGTTCAATGGTGAGCACCATTTTACTCTACAACATTTCTACCATCCCTTTTCTGATTTTGCACAGAGTACTAAATAGGCAAAAATTAATATAGCAATACAATGACGAGTGCCTTCATATAAACGAAACGAATTG